TGGGGACGGGGCTGGGGAGGGAAGATGGAGGGGAGCGAGACGGGAGGTGCATGGGTGGGTGGGGACGGGGCTGGGGAGGGAAGATGGAGGGGAGCGAGACTGGAGGTGGATGGGGACGGGGCTGGGGAGGGAAGATGGAGGGGGGCGAGACGGGAGGCAGGCCGGGCTATCAAAAAGAAATATCCTATCAAGAAGAAAATTAATCTATATCAAAAACAAAATATCTCTCACAAAGAGCTGTGCCTGCCACTGCAAACCGCCTTGGCAGCGCTGCGCGATGTGAATCTGGATGTGCGTGGAACGCGCAGCACTTTGAGCATCTCCAGTAGCAGATTTCGTGGCAGGAGCAGCACTTTGTGCACTGGAACTGTAGATGTCGTGGCAGGCGCAGCACTTTGAGCATCTGGTTGCAGGAGCGGCACTTTGTGCACTGGAACTGCAGATTTCATGGCAGGTGCAGCACTTCGTGAACCTCGAAGTGCAGATTGCGTGAACCTCTGTCTGCAAGCGCAGACTTCGTGACAAGCGCAGCGATTGCGAACCTTGAAGTGCAGTTTGCGTGGCGTTTGCAAAATTCTGTGGATCTCAAGACCTGTGAAAAGAGCTTTTGATATCTCTGGATCTGAACATCTTTCTACACCATCTGCAAGTCTAGACCCCTAGAACTTAGATTTCAACACCTCCCTGGATCTCAAGACTCAAGACCTCTAAACCTCCATCTTTAGGTCTGTGGGTTTCTAGACCTCTACACCTGCAGATCCGTCTGGATCTCCAGGCCTCTGGATCTTTGTAGATGTAGACCTCTCTGCATCTCAACCGTGATCTTTCTGAATTTCACGATGGCTCACAATCCACAAGACCTGTGGATGGCTCACAAAAGGTCTGCTATGTTGGAATGGCACCTTCCTCCTCTAAAGTCTATGCTGACAACAGGTCTGCTCCGGTAAATGTTGCCCGCGCATGGCTCACGAAAGGTCTATACTGCTCCTCTAGATTTTGCTCACAAAAGGTCTGCTACCTTGGCGTGGCACCTACAGTTTAGCCCCGCGTGGCTCACAAAAGGTCTGCTACGTTGGAATAGCAAGTTCTACCCTCAGGTTGCTCACAAAACAAAGGCCTGCCACGTTGGAATGGCAACTTCTTCCTCTAAGTTTTAACCTCGCAAGGCTAACAAAAGGTCTGCAACGTTGGAACGGTTCCTTCCTCTTGAAGATTTTGCCCTCAGGTGGCTCACAAAAGGTTTGCTACCTTGGAATGGCACTTTCTTCGTCTAAATTTTACTGTTGGGGTGGCTCACAAAAAAGGTCTGCTACGTCTGGCGATAAAAGGTCTGCTACGGTGCTTCACAGGATGTATGACCAGATTTCCAAATCACCTTGAACGCGTCTTGCCTCGAAAGTACAGACCCAAGGACCCGAAGACCAGGACGAAGGACCTAAGGACCAGAGGACCAAGGGACCAGGGGAGGGGAGGGGAGAGCGCATGGGTGTGGATGGGGCTGGGGAAGAAAGGGAGGGGCGCGACATTGTGCATGGGTGTGGACGGGGCTGGGGGGGAAGATGGAGGGGAGTGAGAGGTGCGTGGGTGTGGACGGGGCATGTGTGTGGACGGGGCTGGGGAGTGCATGGGTGTGGGCGCTTGCGCGGCTGATATGCTAGTTACGAGGACATGGTTGCGCCCACAAGTAGAACGAAGCATGGGTGGGGTAGTGCTGCTCCATGCTTCGCGGAAGCATGTTGGGAGGTGAGTGGTGCTGCGTTGCGGGGCTTATACGACGGTCTTGGGTGTCCAACATGTGCACAATGCATGCGCCAGACAGTCAAGTCATGGCCGACACGGCAGGATTGGTGCGTGCCAAAAGCGCAATGCGTGAAATTGGATGGTTGGAACAAACCATGGAGGGGGCTGATGCTGCTCCATGCTTCCTGGAACGGTTGTCAGAAGCCATGTTGCAATGTTGTTGGAGACTAGCTGCAGATTGAAAACAGCCACTTTATATATATATAATACATCCAACCTCCAACCCGACTAAAGAGGGAACCGTCTTGTTTTCTTCTTACTGCAACGATATTTCTATCTAGGCTCTAGGGTCTATGCCGGTGTAAATTCTTAAGATCGAAGCCCGCAACGGTTTGTTCGAGAAAAACAAACGACAAATCCTCTCCTCCTGGGATATCTCCGCCATATCGACGCCCTGATCATGCCAACGATGCACGCCACCGGAAATCTATGCAAAAAAATTAAACACTAGACGACGAATGACCCGAAAGCATTATACCGCGTGTGATGCACTGTAGCGCTGGCACAGCAGTACACATGTGTGTGCTTTTCCCAAAAGAATCTCCGATGCTTGGGTTCTCGTTTAGTTTAGTCGTTAGTGGGGGGGGGCAGAGCGAGACGAGGCAAGCATTTTCGTGGACGGAAGATGGGTGTGGACGGGGCTATATGGATCGAGATGGGAGGGTGGACGGGCGTGGACGGGGCTGTGGAAGGAAGATGGATGCTAAGTAGAAGCATGGGGGGGCTAATGCTACTCCATGCCTCGCGGAAGAACGTTATTGCTCGAGTGGAATTGTCTGGCGCGGCCTATATGACGGTCTTGGGTGTCCAGAATGTGTGCAATGTATGCCGAAGGCAGCCCAAGTCATTACAGAAACGGCGGGATGGTTGCATGCCAGAACCGCAATGCTTCAAATTTCATGGTGGAACGCATGGAGGGAGCTGATGCTGCCCCACGCTTTCTGGAAGGGTTGTTAGAAGCCATGTTGCAATCGTGTTATGACCGTTTTGGAGGGCTTTCAAAACTGACCAAGGGTGTACATGGCAGACGGGGGTGGACGGATGCGCACCAGAACCGCGATGCTTGAAATATCATGGTTGCCACGAAGCCTGGAGGGGGCTGATGCTTCGTTTTGGCCTGCTAATGTGTGTTTGTTTATTTTTCCTGGGTTGCGCGCTTCTTTTTTGCTTTTGGGTCCGCGGGCTCACCTTGTTTTTTTCTGTTAAGGGTATGTTTATATTCTTGTTTAAAGCCGCCTTCGGTGGAAAGCGATCGGACGCACCCCCTGCCTGGCCCGTTTGTCAGCATGGCTTGGCCGCGTAGTGAGGCACAAGAATATAGAAAGGGCTAACGCCCTGGTGCCGCCGACCCCCATTTAGGTCGCCAGGCAGATGCGTGAACAAGACGGGTCTTTTTCAATATGGTCCATCTTCACAGGCAATCTAATGACACACTACACTTCCTACACGGCATTATATGCCCTAGCCCGAGCCAAAACCTCGGTCTCGCCACGTCGAAACACCCTGGCCCTGAAGGTTTGAACGGAGCAGCGCGCGAGCGCTGCCAGTGTCTAACTGCGCCTGCAGAGCCCAACAGAAAGAGGAGGCCAGGAAAAGCCCTAGGTAGCTGCAGGCGTGCTCGAGAACCGGCGTCGCCAGGGTCAAACAGGACAGGTTGCCTACCAGCAGCTTCGAAGAAGAGCTTGTGAAGGCCTGCCGCAGAGGGATTGGAGTCTCCTGGACAAAGCAGCGTCTGGCGGCAGCATATTAGGGCAAGTGCACCCGCACCAGTGCCCGCAGTGTGGGGCCGTCGTTCACAGCAGCGTGAAGCAGGGCCGCGCACAGATCACCCATAATACCCAGGGCGGGCGCACGTGCCCGGCAACGTGGTGGCGGGCATCAAGCAGGTGGAAGTTGCAAGGCAAAGCAGGTAGATACATTGGAAGTTCAAGCAGGTAGACGTGCAACCTTCGGTATCCCAGGCGCCGCCCCGCCTAGGCGTCAGCTAGGCCGGGGTCGGCGGATAAACATACCTTTGTAGAAAGAAGACTTTCAGCGATATGGCCTCCAACCTAATGGCGGGTGTATTTCTGTTGCTTCCAGGGTC